CGTGTCTACGCAGCACTTAATATATTGCGCGTACGTCGGACAACGAGATCATTGTTTACGACTTTTTTCTGTTTTTACCCGAGGTGGCGAGGTATACTTTTATAATATTATTATACTGATTTTTTTTCTAAACCGTCTTTCGCACTAGGTTAAGTATATTTACCACATCTTTTATCCAGTTCGTACTCGGTTCTAATGTTCAATAAACTATGGTTTGTATCGGAAAATAGGTACTTACGTAATATATTGTATCATAGTATTTGATATTGTTTTTCTTCTCTCGTATTTGCTAGCGAAACTCAAAACCGTTGAATGTGGGTAATGGTGTTATGACGTCAACTCGTCTAATTTTAATAATAAATATTAGCTAAAACATTTTTTTTTTTTTTTTTTAATTTCATAAACGACTAAATATGTGCCAATTTCAATGATTTTATTAATGTATGTATTTTTAATTGTGCTGACATTTGGTTATATCATATTAAACTCAACTGTAGTATATGGGTATTATATTAAGCTGCATACCACCATACTTTGCTCATCTTAATTTTGAACATGTTCATTAAAAATTATGAAATCAAATAATGCGCATTACTCACAATTATAATGATAATTGATATTCACGGTAAAGCTTGATCAATAATACTATAATATCAATAAATTATTAATTTAAACATTGAGTATATTTAAAAAAAAGATATGGTAAATATTCTTTACGATTTACCGTGTTCGTCATTAGCCATTACTTTATCGTGTACACAAATGTGCTTATTACACATAATTTTAAAATAAAAGTCATAACTAAATTCTCTTTATTTATCAATATAGCAAAAAAAAAAAAAAAAATAGTAATAATAATAATATCTAATATATATTTTTTTTATGTATCAATTTAATTTTAGATTGTAGTTAATTAAACAGTTATTAAATTCTGACTACTTCTTTTTCATTCAGTTAAATTGATTTTTTTATATGAATTACTTTTAAAAATATAATTAATAATCAGAAATATTAGATAACGACACATTAAATATCATACGATAAGTGATATAGATATTTATTAAAATATTTATGGCCCGAAAAAATGAGTCCTCCGTTTAGAAATAATGTAAATATTTTGTTGACATTTACTATTTCTCAGTGAAACAGTCGATGTTTTTACTGACAGATAAAAATAAAAATGATTTTTTTTTAAATTTTAAATTAAAGCATATATTTTTGTTATTCATAAATAATTTATACTAAGGATTATTTGTATTTTATTACTATGTAAATATGACTGCGTAAATATTGTATATTTTATATTATATCGTCATTTATCCTTAATTTGGTCCTCTGATTCTAGTCTTTAGTACTGTGGAAATAATTATTAGATGTTAGTCATATAAATATTTTAATTTATTATATTATTCAAAGCTGTTTTTAGACAATGAAGTGTAGTTATATAATGCATTATCATGTTGTATTACATATCTTACATTTATTTACGTTTAAAAAATGTTTTATTCATTTTTTTGTTTTAATTACATTTTATTGGTTATTTTATTTTTAATTTATAAAAAAGTTACTTATGTTTTTGTTATTTGACGTGAAGTATTTTGGTTGGTAGTGCAATTCTTATTTCATTAATAAATTAAATTTATAGTTATATCTGATATTTTAATTTTCAAAACAAAATACTATTTCATATTTAAATAAATAATATTATTTTCCTATAAAAATTATTTCGAAAAGTTAATAATAGTATTTTAAACTGATACAATTTAATTATAAAAATTAATTTCATTTTCATAGATTACAATAGCTACATACCCAACTTACTTTGCACAGTCAACTATTTTTGTTACGTTTTATTTATAATTTTTGAAATGTTTAACTTAGATTTTTTTTAATAGTTAATTGGTAATTTTTTTTTTTTATTTTTTTTTTTAAAGAGTAATAATAATTTTACCATTCATAAAGTTAATTAATTATGTAATAATAATAAGTTAAGTGCATTATTTAGTAAAATAATATGGCCAATTATAATATAATTTCCATCTTTTATTATTCGGTCATTTCAAAACTAAAATGTAATCAAAATATCGAAAAACTGTTGTATTAATTTGATATCGATAACAAACTTTATGTTCAAACTTTTTTGAATTTATTGTTCATAAACTTGGTTAGCACTCGGCATATTTTGGCCGTTGAAATATAAATGTTTCAATCAATAAAAATTTCAATTTTGTATAAATACATGCTATTATATGACATAGAATATTTTATTTATCCATTGAAATATTTTCATTGCCTTATATTTAATTTGATTTTATTATTACGGTAAACGTATTTTATATAGTAATACATAACTGGTTAAGTTCAGATTTTATGTATGCTGGTCATTTTCGGGTGCTATATTTATATACCATTTATTATTCATTTTTTCAACAAAGCAATAAAAGTTGTTTTTTTAATGTATATAGAATGGTTTGTCTTGAAAATAAACTTAGCGATCGATCTCAGTTGTGTGATACCTATTATATGCTTGTTACCAAACACTATTTAAACAAAAGATGTTGGTATTTTTCCTTTCGACCAACTGAAAACTTATTTGGCTTTTTAAATATATTAATTTTACTAAGTAATATTTTCATTGTAAATGAATAATTTTTCAAGAAATATGTCTTTTTCCTAATTTTAAAATAATCAAGCGCATTTCATTTATTAGTTTGTAGTTGTTAAAATTATTTTATTTTGCAATGTACTAATATTCAATCACTATTTCGATCTTCAATTTCAAACTTTTCATTTATAGATATTAATCAGAATCTAAAAGTCAGTGCAGTAAAATCATTTAAAAAACTTTACTATTATGGTTTCACTCGTTGCTGGTTTTTTATTTTTTTATTTACATTATCAAACTCGAATATAGTGTAGTCTTTCAGTTTAAATTGAACAGTTCAATATATCTTTGAAATAATAATTTTAAACATGTTGTTGACAATCATTTAGGTATTCTTTTTATTTTGGACCATACGTATCTGCTGTACATTCCATTCTAATTCAAAAGATAATATATTATCTAGTTATATAATTCTTCTCATGCACCCTTTTTAAATTTGACCAGGAATTTTTTTTTTGTATTTGAACATGATGTTTTAAAATTAATTTTTAACTTTCTGAAGATATAATAAAATAGTATTTATTAAGTGATATGTTTTTAAGTTGTACATGTAACAATATTAACATATTATGCTTAAATCAAATTTTAAATTTAGATCTGTTTTTATTTTTTTTCAATAGAATACTGATGAATTCTAACACAAATGTTTGTATACATTTATCAGTTAACGGCAAACCGCATATTGTTACGTGTCATCAAAAAATATTACAATGATAAAATGGTTAAAACAGTGTAAACTGTTTTGATGTGATAATCGTTAACTAATAATTCTCTACAGAATATCACGGAAATATCAAATAATATTCAAGTTACATAATTTAATATTTTCATTGCATATCTACCAGGGCTTTTGTTTATTATAATATATTTTGTATGAGACAGTGTATTTACTATATTTGTGTTTAAGTGTAAAAGGTGATTGAAATATTTTTTTTTTTAAAGGGAAAATTTATATACACATTACACATTTTGTATTTTTCATCCTACAGCTATAACGGTTTATTTCGTAATTACAAAATCACATTTAAAGTCTTCATTATTGTTTTTAACTTAAGTAAGAATTGTTGAAATTAAAAATGCTCTTCTTTCACAAGATTTATAAAAATTAAACTTATGAATTAATGTTATTTTTCAAAGTATTTATCGGACTACAGGGGTAAACATTTTTTTTAACTCCGATTATTTTGTATAAATTGCATAAAGAATAAAATTTTACCAAATAGGTATCTACTTAACCGCTTTAATAAAATGTGAATATCGTTGTAAGTCAACAAATACCAATAAATTTATTTCTTAAGCGTTTATTTTAAAATATATTTAAACATTTTATTATTATAATGTATTTAATACCTACATAAATATTTATTTTATTATTTTATTGTAGGTACATAACCTTTTTTTAATTGTAAATTATAGACATTGATTTATTTATAGTAATAATTTTTATGAGATATACTTATTACACTTTAGTACATAGGTAATATTTAACTATTTATGCGATTATTTGATGGTGTATATTATTTTATTATATTTTATTATTTCGTACGGACTATATTTTTCTTCGACAATTGTATATTGTGTATTATATAGTTATTATTACGTGTATAAAATATATGGTATTATAAAGAACCATATGAGTTTCTTTTCTATTTTATAAATTTAAACTACAAATATATAAATAAAGACAAAACTTAAAAAAAAAATTTTTACTAAAAAAGTGCAAATCAGCATTCTTTGTGTATTACTAGTAGTATCACGTATCCCAACACAAGGTACTTATGTAATTAAATTTTGCATATAAAATAACAAGATAATAACGTAAAATATAAACGTTATTTTTCACGATAAAGAAGAACCGTAGATAAGAGGAAACAAGTAGTTAGTACTTTCACTGCTCAATGTTTCGGGTCAACCGATCATAATAAATTAAAGTATATTACAATTAATACAATTTATATGAAATTATAATATATGTTCTGAAATTATTAAAATTAAAAATGATTACAAGTGATGATAACTGATAACGTTCTTTGAGCACCATTTATAGATTTGATATTGGCAAGTATAAAGTTAAGTAATAAGCCAATCAAATGAATTTAAAATTATTGCAGTTTTTTATTGGTTTGTTTGTATGAATATTTAAAAAATATATAATATCATACAATGTTGGTTAATTAAAATTATTTATCCGCTGACGTCACAACAATAATTATAAATTATTATGTGTAGGTTTATCGTATACACTTGAATGATATAATTGTTCTTAGTTATATTAAACGAATTTATTTATTTGTTTGTTCATAAGCTAATCTCTATAAACGTGTAAATATTTCAGCCAGGAGATCGATCGAAATGACCAGAGTAAGGGCAACCGACCCTAGACCGTGTCCCAAGTGCGGCAAGATCTACCGTTCGGCACACACACTCCGCACACATCTGGAGGACAAACACACTGTGTGTTCTGGATATAGATGTGTGCTGTGCGGCACGGTGGCCAAATCAAGGAATTCGTTGCACTCACACATGTCGCGTCAACACCGTGGTATAAGTACCAAGGACTTACCTGTGCAACCAATGCCGTCCAATTTTGATCCGGAATTGGCGTCTAACCTGCTGCTAAAAGCCGGAGTCAAGGTATTATAATTTATAGAGGATATAATATCTAGTTTTTGAAGTATGCTTTTTTCGAAAATCATCATTTTAGGACTGAACATTCTAAACGAACAAATATATAAAAATAAAATTTTGTTTAATTCTACGTTAAACCATTTTATAAATTAAAAGCAATACATTTAAAACTTTTAAATGCTTTGAGATAATATTTTATATTACTTTATTTTACAAAATTAATACTCGAAAAAATGTATAAATATGCCATAAAAATTACTAAAATAAAAAAAAACATTTTCATAACAAAATTAAATTCAAAAAGTAGGATTCAAAAATAAATATTGTCTGAATTATATATATGTTGCCATGTTGGTTATTTAATAAAAATCCGTTGCCCTATAGATAACCTCTAGAACGAATTTATGCGTTATATATAACGTTTGGTAAAAATGTCTATAACGAAAGTATAAATAAAGAAAAAATGGCATAGATAAACATTTTTACACTGTGAAAATATTTGGTTGGTTTGATATTTACATAAATAATGTGTGGTATCAAATAATCAACTAAAATAATACGTGCAATGTAAAATGGCACATTCTGTTATATTGTTTCGAACATTTACTAAACCATAATAAATTATTATTTGTAAATTTATCATTTTCAGACTTAAACAATTTTAAACTATTATCAATTTACGTGTGCAATATGTAAATCTTATTATTCCTGTGTATCATAAAATCCAAAAAATTTACTAATTTATTGAATAAATCTTACGAAATATATTCACACTGGTATCTAATACAAATGTATGCAGCATTTCTATTTTAAATTCGCCAATATTTTTTACAGTATATTTTATTTACTAATATAATAGGTCTATCATTACTCTTTATTATTATAAGGACACTTACTTTATATCTTGGACAACAGTTTTATATTTCAAGAACTTAAAAAAATAATATTTTGAAATAAATAAAAATATTTTAAGAATGTTTGGTTTGATTTTTGCCAGTACTTAAACATTTTTAGAATCATATGGTATTTTCTAAAGTACCTTACTGAAATTAACTAAACTATATACATAAATGTATTAATGATATTAATATAGATTATAAATAAAAATATAATACCTATTTTAATTTTAATTATTCAATATTCATATTTTCTTTTTTTCTTTTTTAATAAAACAAATATTTAAAATACTATACATATAATTAACAAAAAATATAAAAATATGCATAGAACATTCGGTAGGTTTTCGATTATTTGTTGTTCCTTAAAGTTATCTTTTAAGAATTAGAGTTAAAATATTACAAATTTATCTAATTTTAAATCTATAAAAAATTAAGTTATATGATGTTAATAACAAAATATTATTGTATAACAGCTATTCTTGTGTAATTTTAATTTTATAAAAAATTATAAAATAACTATAATATTCATAATTGTATTGAGTCCAAAAATGTTTATAATATTATTGTTACGAATTTGTCGTCTAGAATAGATAACTACAAGTAAAATAGTTTTTATGTCTCGGTATTTTATCTGTTTTATGTAACAAGTGCGCCAGGCACAGTAATAATGATTATTATTTTATACATGCGTTTACTGTTCAGTATAGAGGCAGGCCCACTTTAGTACCGTTTTTGATCCTCAGTGTTTTCAAAAAATTAAGGATTGAACTCACTTTTTTATTACTTGTCCTGTTTTAAACCATATATAATTTCAGAGAACGGAAATGCGAACGATCGGTAAACTCTACCGCGGTGTCTTTAATCATTTTATGTGTGGTGTATTATTGTATCAATGGTTCTTTATTATAATGGTTGGTCTCAGCGATTACGTCGTATTATTTATGATATCAGTAGCATCCAAAAATCGCACTCTCTAATCTCTATAGATTTATTGTACAAATAAATACCACTCACTATTTTAAATATATAGGATAAATAATGTATTTTGAACATCAAAAACTTTAACTCAAGCATACAAAAAAAAGTTATGAAAAAGCACTATATTTTTTTTTAAATCGGACCCAAAATGAAAAAAATTATTTATGCTTATCACAAAAATGAAAATTTTATTTTAAATACATGTAAACAATAAATAAAAAATTTCGCATTTTTTAGTTTTTGGTAGGTTAGGTTAGGTTGTTTAAAGTCAGCTGTAAATTAACTTTGTGCGGATTTAATTTATTGAAAGTGAGCAGTTTTATTTTGTATTTCATCTGAATATAAGTATGTGGTTTTTGGATTCAACAATGATATTTTTGTCCACGTTTAGACCTGGAATGTAATGAGTTGAACTGTTTAAATTAGCACTAATTTTATATAGTTGTGAAAAACCACCACAGGTGATTAACGAAAAATATGAATAAAATTTCTTTTTGAAATAAAGTATAATATATTCAAGTGGAAGCTGCTACATGTAAAATGTATTTGTCTTCAAACATTCAACGCATCTAAAATTTTCGTTTAGTAGAAACCGTTTTATGTAGTTAGTTTCAATATTGTGATATATATTTTTATTAATGTACATTTTTTCAATACTCTCGAATATCATAGGGGAGTTTATACAGTTAAGTTTCATAAACTCAAATTTATTTCTGGCTTGGTCAAAAAAAAAAAAAAAAAAACAACTATATAAAAAAACATTTTTTCTCATGTTACAGACTAAGATACCTAAGTCTATAGTATGCAGTAATATGTTAACAAATTATAGTATAGTTTATCTACCATGTAGTAGGGTAGAAAGTACAGCTCACGCTGTCCTCGTTTGGCAACTCGCAAGTGTATGAATCCACATGTATAATTAGTCGTACACATCTACCTAATTATAGTGCCAAATAAACTAACCTGGAAAATTGTAAGTTCCTCGGAATAACATGTATCATAAGTGATCGAAATGAATTTAAAAAAAATACTTAATTTCATCGTTGTCTCCTATGATTATCCAAATTAAACCGGATAAATTGTAAGTCGGCTGTCCAATATTATTTGAACAAAGTGGTGGGCTATTGTATAGTGTGAATTAAGTCCTTCCTTCCCACGAAACATATTTTTAAAAGTTTTATTTGTGATTATTAGGATAGTTGGTACAATAATTAGTATAAGCCAAGTTTATCCTAGTAGAAAATACAGTTGAAATCGTATCCCCTTAATACATGTCCAATGATTTCAGGTATCGCCAGCTGAACTACGGGCAAGGGCTTCACCAACGGACGTAGTCACCACCAGTCACCGTCGCGGTGACGGCAAGCTGGACTTGCAGTCAGCTAACAGCAGCGTGTGCGGCGGTGACGACCCCGAGGACTTAACCATGAATTCGTCCGGTCACCACCACCACAACAACAACAACCATCACCACCAGCAATACGGAAATAACAACAACAACAACCAACAACGGTACAGCGAGTCGCAACAACAGCAACTATTGCAGCAGCAGCAGCACCATCTCCACAACAGCGGTGGTGGCAAGTTTCCCACGGCAATGGACCTGATCGACAATTACGCACGGGCAGGTGGTGGAAGTGGAGGAGGCAGTGGTGGAGGCGCCCTGTCACCGTTTCTGCCGGCTTTTGCAGCTTGTGGCAAAGACCTGCAACCGGGCGACAGCAAGATCTCGCCATATAACAACAAAGCGTTCCTGGACTCGTACCTCAAGGCACTAGTAGAGACCAACCCACCGCTTTTCTACGCGTCCAAGATTGCCGGAGACATGATCAAGCACGAGATCGCTCCCGATGACGCGGATTACTCGTCAGCGTCCGATGAGGACGATATCGATGAGGATGACATTGATGAAGACGTCGACGAGGATGTCGATGACGAAGACGACGACCGCCGTCGTCGGCGTGGGCACAGCAACGGTGGTGGCACCGGTAGCGTCAATGACACACCACTATCGCTGCAGGCCGGCAAGAACTGATGGGACAAAACTGCCCCCTAATCCCCTCCCCTCTAGCAGGCCCACCCAACTCACTACCATCTACACTGTTGCCGCTCATCGGCGCGAAAGCGACAAAACAAAAGTGTAAAAAAAAAAATCAAAAAAAAAATTAGAACTTAGGCCTTTTAGTTTTGAGTGTATATTGAATAAATCCATGATTCTTGATCTGCAAGTCTAAGAGATGAGAGAGTACGTATATAAAATATTATTGTTATTATATAATAGCTATAAAGTGTAGCGATCAGTTAGGTCGTGTGTTTGATGTATTCACGGACGCGGAACTACGTGTGTACCGTAAGATCTAAAATTTATTTTTTTAAAGACATCATGAATATGTATATGTTAACGGAAATTCTCAGAGGACAATAATTTCTAATATTATACTTACTAAGCAAAAACTATCATAAAACACGGTATAAATTTTTTTGATTCAATGCCACATGCAGAAGACAACGTAGATCTATTTTCTGATCAGGTGTTTATTTTTATTATTATTATTATTATTATTATTATTATTAATCATTTTTTTACGTTTTTATTTATTTATTTACGACTAGTCATTAAATTGTTTAACAGTCTAACATAGCAGTTCAAACATGTTTGTTCCTAAATGTTTTTAACAGATTTTTTTTTTTTTTTTTTAAAAAAACAGTTTTTTCTTTTCATTCGTGCCATAGTATATAATATACACCTTAAATAATAATATGATATTTACGAAACTATTTTACGAGTTAAACTCTCTCTCTAATATTATATAGATACCATACCATTCCTCTTCAACTACCTCAATCGTAGATGTTAAAATGTGTTTTTTGCTTACGCCAAGTAATAAATCGATCATAATCTCTTAACAAAAGACTTGAATTATATTGTTATATGTATAATATATTTTTTTTTTGTCTTTAAAAACATGCCATATTAAATTTGTTAGTTAAGAGTAGATATACTTCCTAACTATAAACCAGTATTAATAAAAACAATTTTAGTGATTCAACAAAGCTATATTATTATAAATTTATTGTTTGAAAACTCGTAGTGCCATTATTAAAAAAAAAACTTATCCCTAATATGTTTCATTTTTTTTTTTATTTTTTTTTTTATCTAATTAAATATAGCATTGTTGTGTGTTAATCCGTTTGTTTTAAAATGCATTTCAATGATAATATTGCTAACAGTATAGTCTGAAGACTTTCTCATTTCATGTGTTCAACAACAAAACAATATACAATATATAATACAAAATAATCGATTTCATTTTGCACTAGAAATATAATATGCAAATACATTATCTTAAATCGAATAATAAAAATTGTATTATTTTATAATATCGTTCTATAGAACTTAAAATATTATGTTTTATATATATATATGACTAAAATAATGCTACTTTGGTATTATTATTATATATGTATATATTAATTTATAATATATACAAACAATTATAAGGCTCAATGTATATAATATCGTGTTTTATTGAATTATTATTTTTAATTATATTTTACACTTTTTTTTAAAAAAAAAAATAGAGTACAAATCAAAGTGCAAAATTAGCATTAGTTTTTTTCAAGCGGTTAACAAACGATAGCCGATTTGAAACTAAATTACAAATCTAAACTAATTGGGTTTCTTTTTACTACGTTAAGTACAATTTAAATAATAATATATAATCTTATCAAATATAGTCAATACAACTTAAAGTACAAACATAAATGTTATTTTTACTATTAAAATTATTTTAATGAGCGTTATTACTGTATACATAGTTTTTAAATTTTTTTAACTAATGTACCTATTAAACATCTGAACAAAGATATTGTATTATTTTATTCTTTCTGTATCTCTCATAATCGAACCCAAGTGCAATAATTATTTAACATAATAATATCTTTATTATTTTATTTATATTAATTTAATCGAAACCGTTAACAAAAAAAAAAAAAATAAATAAATAATACAATTTAGAAGTTCAGCATCTTGGTTGTACGAATGTTATGTGTATTTCTGTTGATAATTCATTCATTTTTATTTATTATTTTTATTATTTTTTTTAATTTTTTTTTTTTTATTATTAATTGACACTAGTCATTGAATTCTTTCATGCCACTCATCAAACAAAATAACAAAACAGCTTGTTGGCCAATGAAATAATATTATGAAATATTTACATACAAACTTAAGTTATTAATATTTTTTTTTTTTTATTAAGGTCGTGGTCATTTTTCCTAATTAGACTGATGAAAGGAAAGACTGATGACACTTTATGTATTTTTTATTTTTATGTTTTACATTGAAAAATCTGAAGTGCCTCGCATTATTAATTATGTTAGTAAATAGGTGGTTGGGCACAAACTAAACAAATTTTTCCATGTATACATAACAGTTTCTCATTATTATATATATTTTTTTTCATTTTAATGTATTCAACAATATACTATAAATAAAAGACTACCGTAAATTGAAGCATATATAATATTTTTAAAAAAAAAAAACGTCAAATAAGACTTATTATGAATTAAATTAAAATAATTTATAAGCCATTTAAACTGAGTAGATAAACAATTTAATTATATATTTTTAAACTTAAAATTGGTAAGTTGTATCTCTTTTAAACACATTAAACCAAGAAGTAGGACAATGATTGATTAATATTTGAGTTATTTAATTTTTTCAAACCTTCAAAATTTTATTGAAAAGTAGGAAAATATTTATGCAGACCGTTTAAGATGTTATTATGTAACATAGACTGGTGCTTTAACAATGAATATTGCAATGTATAATAATAATTATTATTATTAATATTATACTCAGCTCACAATGTAAAATTAACTCTAGATTTTTGTTTTGAAACTCAGTGAATTGAGTATTTTATTTTGTCATATGTATAATGTATATACAATGTTTTTTTTTTTTTTGTTAATCAAAGTTTAGATCAGATAATTATTATAGTACAAACATTTTAACATTTAAGTTAGATAGTATCATGTTTAATTTTAGTTGTTAAGATTTGTTATACAAATAATGTCAATGATTTTTTCTTTTGTACACTTTAATAAGTAATTCTTTACGTGTTGATCAAGTGCCATATATTTTAAAATATAATCATATAATTTTCTGAAAATTAAAAGGAAAAATCAAATAAGACACATGCACCTGTACTCAATGTGTCTTTAAATTTTAACTGTTGTTATATTAACTGTATTAGAGTATGAACCAACAGCTTTTAATCTAAATTGTTAATCAATTGAATTTTATGATTTACAAAAAAACTTAGAATAAGCAATTGCTAGACAAAATATCACTAAATGTTTTATTTTTATCGAAACAATTGTCAATTATCATGTCACGATAATTAAAAGATTAACCGAGATATAAAGATTTTGCTTATAAAATGTTCACTCTAAACCATACTCTGTGAAATAAGGTGTTGGTTCATATTTAGTGTATATATTGATATTCAAAAGATACAAATTATTGTGAAACATTAAAACATTTAAAATTACACGATGTAAAGCGCTCTTTTAAAAATAATTTTCTTTTAATGTTTTTTTTTTTTTTTTTTTACATGCTACCACATAATTAATCTTTTAAAAATAATCGCTGTATTAAATATTTTGTTTTTGTTCCAATATATTTTTTTCATTTTTTAAAAACAGATCTGCTCTGCTCAATTTGTTAATATTATTTATTTTTAATGATTGATTTTTTTTTTTAATTGTATGGTTTCTTAAAATTAATATTATTTTTACTATTATTATTATTATTATTATTATTATTATTATTAATTTTTAAAGGCTTTGTACTTAAAAACAAAAACAATATAATTAAGAAAAACAATGTACAAACATAATAAGTAATTTCAAATGATATGCGGAGACCAGTAGTTTTAAAATGATAATTATAATGAAATTGACAATGTTATATTTTATTGATTTTGTAAATTGCAACGTTAAATTTGTTTTACTCATCAATATTGATACCAGTCAATGTTCCTAATTATTTTTATGTATTTTAATATTCGGTATTTTTAAACGTACAATACGATGCCCGCTGAATTCTTGTCGTCTTTTAATAGCTTGCTGGCCGCTGTTTGTTTTATTCTCTTTGTTTAAATTCCATCAAATTAAATAATCATTGATTATTAGTGTATACAATTTACACCTATTGTATTTAAGTTAAAAATGATGAGTTCCCTTAAATCGTAAAAACGTTCAGAAGTTTTTTTTCTTATTGACAATTTTGATTTTCTTGTACACACGTGTATGCTCGCGGTGGCCATTTGTTGACCTTTTTATTAAGTATCACTTTCTGTGATTATCATTTAAAACGTGTTACCATCAGCCCCGATAATACCATTTGGTGGTTACCTCGACAATATAACATAATATTATAAAAGTTTAAGTCGGATCACTATCATCGCGTCTTATCCTCCCTCCCATAATCGTATTTAAATAATCGTTTCGTCATGTGTGTGTGAGTGTGTAACTAGTTGTCTAAATTATTGTTTTTAATAACACCTCTTACAAAAAAAAAAATTTTAAAAAAACATAAAATAATTAAAAAAAATAATATTTTTAGCGAGTCACGTGTTGTATAGAGTTTGAAAAACCAATAAAAAAAAAAAAAAAAAAATAATAATAATTTTGGTTAATATTTACTTGCTTATTATTTTAGTTATTATTATTATTAAGTAACTCTATAAGATTATGCACACACGTTATAGTAGTATATTACATATAGTACGCGTGTTGTAGTTTTGTTTTATATTTATTTTCGTAGTGTATCTGTTTGATGTTCATCTCTCGTATGCGCCCTGAGCCATCTCCCCTTTTATTGTTTGTTTTGTTAGCCTCATCACCCACTCACCATCCCATAGTGTTTAATGTTTAAATTTCATTGAAGTTTTTATTGTACCTTGATTAAATTTTTTGATATAATTATTATTATTATTGTTTAATAATAAACTTACCGGTCAACGCAATTTATCGAGCAGCAGTTTGTTTTTTTTTTTTTAAGTTAAAATTGATTATTATATTGTTTTATCATGTCATGAAAAAAGACAAAAAAAAATTGTTTTTCTAAGTGCCTTTAAATGTACTAATGTACCTGTGTGTTTGTGTGTGTGTGTGTGTGTGTACACTAAGTACTACTTATATACATTAAAAAAAAAAATCAGTGCAGGTAGTCATACGCACCCTTTAAACTGTTTTTTTTCTTATTTTTATATTTTATTATTATATTATCATTATTATTATTATTATTATTATTATTATTTATGTTTTAGTTCAGATCATACTGATATGTAATGCACAATATTATTCGCCTTTGTTCAGAAAATAATACTTATTAAATATACAATAGATGTTAGTGAAAATCGAATTTATAAAATATTGTTTCGAGAATGAAATAAATATCGCCATACGCTATAACATTATGATGTAATAACTATATAACTACCTATATAAATATTATTGACCTAGAGAGCGTTATGTTTAAAGTAACATTGTATAGTTACAAATAATTTTAAAAAAAAAATTGAATTCAAAGAAAATGTGTGTACTTTGTGTAAAACATGTAGATAGTTAAAAAAAAAATATAGTAATGTGCAATTGATTTCAGCAGTTAATAATAATAAAACAAATATAATTTAAATTTAAATTGACTTTTATTTATTTATTGTTTGTCATTTACGTACTCCGAACACCTATAGTCTATACCCATTTATTTATTAAGCGTGCCTAATAATACATAGAATAAATATTGCAATGAACATCTCTATATTTTAAGTGAAAGAAAAGATATTTAAAATCGGTGCTCGATTGTTTTAGATTTTGCAGAGTGAAAGAGTGTATTGGTTTTAAAATGATTTTTATTTTATGTGTACCTATATCTGTCATTAGATCAATGCAAAATAAACTTTTAGTATTTGAATATTTATTTTACAAATAAGGCCAACTAAAAACAAATTTATTTTATATCATGACAAAATCATGTTTATGGTTTAATTATGTTGCATAATATTCAACTATTTTTTGTTCTTTGTTGATTTTTAGATATATTTCTTTATCTTTTTTTTTTTTGTGCTGCCTTATACATTTAAAAAAAAATAATATTCATTAAAAAGACAATCAATTCTTTGTAATATTTAAATGTCCCCTATCGGTTACCACAGCCAGATGCCTAATTGTAGCATTTTACAAAGGTGCTTTAAATTTAAAATAGAAATAGAACATTTTTAGTGTTGAAAACGTTAAAATAATCAAGGGGAAATAACTAAGTTATAGAACGCCGAGAATTTTTACGCAAATTTAGCTTTTCTTAAAATATATTTGATTTTTTGTTAATAATTTAAAAACAAACGACTATAGAGACTTGAATTTTTCACTATAAATTATATGTGTGTATGTTTGCTATTTCAAAAAATGGTGACATGACATAATTCTTAAAATATTTTAACTTTTTTTGTGCTATAATTATAAGCAATTTAAAATGTATTTAATTTTTATTTTAAAATGATCATAATTTTCTTTGTAAACAATTTTGAAAATGTAATAAATGGTTTCTCATAGTTTGATATTTTTTGTAAGTTGGATTGAAAACCAAATTTTGATGACATTGGATATTCTATAAGTAATTAAGATTTATTTTTAACAATTTTTTTTCATATTTAATAAATAATTACTATAGAAAATGTCTAAATTGCTTACTTTTTATAGTATACGTAATTTAATTTATAAAACACTGACAATTATTAGACTACTGTTAGGCATTTTAAATTTTACTGACAATTATTAGACTACTGTTAGGCATTTTAAATTTTCTAATGCTTTTTATTGTTTCTATAAATATTGATAAAAAATGTACTTAAATCTAAAAACAATATTTAAATCAGCACTCGGTACCAAGAATTATTTTTAGAACCCTCGCCCTCTTTACTAAATACTTTTATACTTATAAGAAAACTACATAAGATTAGGGGTGAGGGGTTTGCAAGATTTATCTATTTTTGCTCTTTTAACACTATCGACAGTATGTAAAAAAAATTCTAAGGGAGATTTATTGACAACAGGGAGAGAGCTGTTTTTGAATAATTTTATGTATATTGATAAAAGCAGTAGTAATAAGTATTATTTATTATACATTTTATGCGACTTGCCGGGTTGAACTCAGAATTTATTATATTATATAATATAGTAATTTAAAGTATTAAATAAATATGTGAAAATGTTAAGAGGTTAGGAAAAAAATAATTAATATATTTTAAGGTGCTCATCACCATAGAACGTTTAAGTAATATAACTCAAACTTTATAGGATGAACGAAAAATGTTGATAAATAGTAAGTACTTACTTATAAAATACTATTAATATTTATAAATCAAATTTGTTCGATTGCACAAAAAATAAGTTGCCTTTAAATAACTGCCAATGAAAAACAATTAGGTACGTGGCAGTGGTGAAGTTACCTATGATACAAAGAGTCATTGTCTACCATTTTTTCAAACTGATTGTCACGTATGAATTTACTCAATTTTTGTTTTATAATCGTATTAAAATATTATAATGTTTTTTAAAAAAATGTATTGTATTTTATTATAGATATATACTATGGTTTATAACAATTATAACAATTTTACATTAAATGTGTTTTATTGCATTTTTAAGGTAATTTTTACAAATATTACATTAATTTTGAGTATTTAAACTCTTTTTTGTTTATTTTAAGCTTTTTTTAGTATGTATTTGAATAGATAATCCAAATTACTCCAGTCTATTGATATTAAAAAAGTAATATAATTAATTGTCAACTCAAGTTTAAATATATTTATTTAATTTACTTCTTAAAATAATTTTTTACCTTTTTTAAGTGAAATATAAATAATGAATAAATAATAATAATTTTAAAATTATATTTTTCCACTCATTTTAGTATATTTTTAAGTTTATTTTTTTTAGAGTTTTTAGGTCATTTTGCATTTTTTTTAGTGCATTTTTAGGTTATAAAAACCCTAGCTCTACATATAATTGTTCAGGATATCTGTTATTCTAAAAAAACATGATTACGTTTTACAATTTCACATGTTCAATAACTTGCATATTTGTTTAAATATGTCTCACAAAAAATTGGTTCCGCTGTCTATTAAAGTTGCATTAGAAATCCATTCAAAACATTCAATAAAAGTCTTTACTACGGTTTGTATATCAGTAGTTATTTTAATTGAAAGATAATCCAAATTTGTATTAAAGATCTTATGAAATATTTTTTTTTCTTTTTTTAAGTATTTTGGATTGACTATTAAAATATTTAAAAATGTCTCTTTGTCGTAAACTATAAACAACTGTGAATATTAAAATATAATAAATATGTAGCAAAAAAACACACCATTATATATATTTAAGATATACCTACATAATATAAGTACCTAATCAAACTCAAACATTATATTATTATACTATATAATAAGTAGTAAATATATACTATTGCGATGGATCTTAGGTTTCCTTGAAATCCACAAATACTGGCCATACATAGTTTATTATGGATTTACTTTTCCGAAGATTTTTTAAGAAAATTTAATTAATAAATATAAATTAAATTGTAGTTTAGATTTATAGCAGAGGGATGCATTGATTTTACAATGTGTTGATTTCTTGTGTATGTAAATATACACAATGCCCAAATAGTCGAATAAATGCTTTAATTTTCAACTTTGAGGATAGTTTGGATTAAAAATTAAAACAAATTTGAATATGATTATTTTTTATACACAATAAAATTTTCAAAATATTTCAACTTTAGAGTTCATCCAGGGGCCGTCATTTGGACCATTAAATGGTTTCTGAACAAGTTGAATCCAATTATGAACCTGTATTAAAGGGTCTATTAAGACTTACTTATTTAAAGAGTTCAAATTATTAGCAATTATAAAAAAAATATTGTTTTTAATCAAATTTTAAGTTAAAACACAAAATTTTTTTGGAGAATTTTATCATTTATTATAATATCAACATTACTTTTTAACTTTTGAAACATAATTAATTACAATTCTTAAGTATAAAAAATATAAAACAACTAACTTAAAATATAATTCAAAGTGCATGTCTATTAGAAGAAAAATAACTCAATTACAATTAAATTCTCAAACAAAATATCAAACTTTTAATATCTATAAATTTATAAAAAATATAACCATTAAAAAGTGAATACTTCCATAAAAACATTCATAATAATTAGGTTATAGAATAATAATTAAATTAATCAATTAAGTTATTTGTAGGATAAAAACTGATTTAAAAAAAAATAATAAGTTAATAAAATAAAATTGTAACACTTGAATAAAAAAAAAAAAAAAATTAACATTTTTATGGAATATAAAATAATACTTAATACATAATAATAAGATGTATTGATAAACATATATTAACTTTAAATAATTAACAAATGTACTAAATAATATCAACAAATATTGAGAGCATAAAAAAAATCTTGAATTTGATTTCTGAAATTGAACCATAATAATTTAAAAGGTTTAAAATAAAAATTAACAATTTACTATGATAATTAAATATTGATAAATAAGTATTAACTATTAAGTTATATTTTATAAATATAAGGATTGAGTATTATTAATTTCTATGAAGAGATAATAATAGTTATAAGCAGAGGTATATACGCGGGTATACGACGTATCCCCGGATCTCTATTTTTGAATTTATTCGTGTACCTACTTTAAAAAAAAATCGTTTATCATGGGTATACGCCAATTGAAAATGCATGCATTATGGGTATACGCATGCTTCTAGTTTATCATCAGCCATAATTAATATCACAGTATAAAATAAATAATTACAATAATATACAAATATTATTTTATTATGTACACTATTATACTATCGAAAAATAGCCTCAACCTCGTATTAAATTCAGAATTCGGAAACTGCCGAGTGTGTACTGTACTGTATAGTGTAAATATTAAATATTAGCATCAATATTAAGAAAGTTGAAAATGTATGCGTCCATAGCAGATTTTCCACTGAATTTTATGCTGTCAAAATACTACTCACTTTAAAATAAAATCTACCTGTTTATCATTAAAATCGCAACTTTGGTTTAACAAAAAATAATTCACAACTATGCAAATAATTTTTGGATAAAGTAAATACATTTATAAACTATAAAAAAAAAATAACCAAAATCAAATTTCAAAAGTGTGCCAGTTAAAAGTTATTTACGTTTATAATGAATTATAAATAATGAATGTGTTTAAAATAAAAGATAAAGCTTATTAAACATTACCACCATAAGTGTTGAGACATTTCGAGAGGTAAGTTACCTCATTTCGAGCTTAGCGAGAAAATTTTTTAAGGTATATCTATATTCAACTATTTTTAGGTGCGTATACCCATAAATTTATTAACTATTACACCACTAATTATAAGTTAAAATACATTCAAGACAAAACACAAAATGGAAAAATTACATTGAGGACAAATCACGCGCTGAGCGCGTTACAGTATTTTGTTCGTTGAAGATGGATCACGCGTAAAGCGCGTGATGAGTGATGACTTTTTGGACTCCGATATTAAATTCAATTTTTATCCTACACTTTTCATATTTTCTCCAATCGATAGTACCGATAGTGCATCAACTATCGACATCGAAAATTAAAATACATAAATGTTGGCTCCACGTAAAGCACTGTTTTTAATTTGTTTTTAAATTATGACAACAATAGCATATTTCGCCTACAAAAATGTCTATTGGCTACTAATATTTTTTTTCAAAAATTTTGGATATTTCTCTGGAAATAGTAAATAAATAAATACATATAATATAACATGGAATTAGTTTACTCATAGACATAATATATGTATAAATGTATTTATGGAATAATACTTTAATGGTACACTACGGTGTGTACTTCAAAGATAAACATAATTTTCAACAGAAAGTTCTTAAACTCTATAAATAGTATTGAATATTTATGATTTTAATGCTGAAATTTACCATTTATATTAGATATTAAACGAAGACTATATAATATCATTATAACGAATTATTATTTTTGCTACTTTTTAGTTATTTCCAATCGATTCAATGCGAAGATTAGTCGTCGTTTTCGATTCTCTTTTAGGTACAGTAAAATATGCGATATACCATTATGAATTGATCAATCATTTTAAATACATCATACAAACATAACATTTATATTATGCTGATCGATTTTTTTTTCGTTAAAAAAATATATTTTAATAAAATAATTATATGAATAGATTAGTTTATTGTTCATTAATTATTTTAAAATAATAAATAATTTCTGATTTTTAAATAGATTTTTTATTTTTCAAAATCAGTTGAATATCAACAAAGAAATAAATGTTTAAAAAAAGTTAAAAACAGCCCGTCCATTAAATAAAACACCCGCCAAAATCCTTAGACCATAACAATAATATTGAAATCGTGCGTTATGCACGTGATTCGTCACGAGTGTGTTAATAAAATAATATTAATATTTTATTTATTAATATATAATTTAATTTAATAAATATTAAGTAATGTTATTAATTATACCATGGAATTGGGCTTAAAGTCTTAGCTTTTGTTTTATTGTATCTTGTAACAACACACTTGAGCCATCCAGCTACAATTTTTTCAAATTCAAAATCTGTATTTATCTGCGGAGAATAACATTCTTGCACAACTTCTATAATTGTAAAACACATACAAGAAATTTAAATAAAACAATTTGATAATTAGTAAAAATCTGCTTCACTTTTTAATATCATAATCAAACATTTATCACTAATTTTAGTCGATTTTCCTTTTCCTCTACCAGTCCATGTACATTTAACTGCATATTCATCAGTGATTAATCTTGACAAAGCACGTACTACATGATTTTTAAAAGAATGACCACCAATTGTTTTAATATAAATTTCCTATTAATAATAAGTAAATTAAATTAGAAAATTCTAAACTAAAATATTTTATGTCGTAATTAAAATACTCAACTAGTTTAGGTCTAAAATCAAATTTATTCAACAATATACATTCTTCTATACATTTTAATTCATCTGAACTGTTTATGGGAAACTTATTTGGGAACTGTACATCTGCATATTTATTCAATTGTAGTAATTCCATTTTATCAAAAAGTGTTTTTAAACCTTCTAAGTTCGACAATAAGCCACTTAACATGAATTTTATATTTATTCCATTATTATAAATTGCATTTAATATATTTTTTATATCCAAATCTACACACAAAAAAAAAAATCATTAAACGTAATGTTACTAACACTAAATATAATAAGATGTATTAATTAAACTTCAAAAAATAAGACAGATTTTAGAGTTTAAAGAAAAAACTATATTTACCAGTTAGAGTAATGGGATTATTATCAATCTGAATGTCGGTTGACTTTGGAGTATTCATCATTAATGGCTCTTGGATGGTAGTCATACCATCATCATAAGACATATTTATATTCTACAGTTAACAATAATACAAAAATAATGTAAATAAATAAATTAAAATAAAATAATATCATCAAAATTTATAAATTATATAATTGTTTTAAAATTGTATATAGTCCATTAAGGAGATTTGATTCACAGTGTTAAAGAATAAAATATATATATATATATATATATATATGTGATTTTGTAAGCCTGTGCGTATATATGCCATTAATTGGGTGCTTAGTGTGTGTGATAACTAGCATAAAAGAAATATTAAATTATTCCTATTCATGCAATCTCATATTAATAACAATTTCTTCCGGAAAGTATTATTAATTTTAACTTTAAATTTTTACCAAATGTTTATATTATCGGTTTTGATTTACCATAAGATTTTCAAAATATTTCGACAATTTTTAAACTATTTAGAGACACAAGAAATTTTCAAATGTAGTTTTATGAATATTGGTAAAAAAATATTTGCAACGTAGAAATGATTGAAAATTATTAAATACAAAACTCCTCGTAAGTTGTTAGTTTCTCAATTAAAAAATATCAAGTAAATAGTTATAATATTTTTATCAGCATTAAAAATTAAAATGTTGATAAAATTCAAAAACATCTTGTAAACAGTACAAAATTTGTCAGAAATTGTGCTTATTGCAATTAACCCGTCATTGGTGACAATTAATTTATGACACACCGTTGTTAACGTGTAAGCGTTTGTGCGCACTTATTATAAAATATTTTTAATAGAAATATATTTGTATCAATATTTGTATATTAAATAAATTTGTTTTATAATTAAGTGTATTGAAAAATTAACTGACATAAAATGTTCTTAAAAAAAATTATCATTATTTTAATTTATGTTTGCACTATTATTATGGATTTTATTATGAATCAGGTACATTATCCGATATGAAATTAGGATCAGTATCAGAACTATCACTGCTATTAATTTCAAAGTGTTCCTGAAATTCATTCAATGAAATACTCTTAGTATATTTAGTATAATTTACCTAGTGGTTTTAAAAATGGTAAAGTTTGAGCGAAATGTTCTCAGTATTACCAACGATAGATTAATGAAATTCAACAATACATAAGTTGTTACAATTTTTTATAAGTATTTAAGATACAAAATTTTATAAAGATCTTTAAAATTACCTACCCAATAAAATATAATATTACTATACATATCATTTTATAAATTATTTTGTAATTCAACACGTGCAGCACGATATTGACATTTGCAAGAATATGTTTAGGTACATGACCAATATTATACAAAAAGTATATTGCATATCATCATCGTAAGCGGCCGCTGTTTTTGAAAACAGTGATCATAACACCACCCTGTACGCATTAAAGACAGTAAAACACCAAGTCAAAACAAATTTATCTCTTACACAGTCACACCCGTGTAAACGTGTCAAGTTTATAAATATCAAAATAATAATTGTTGATATGGAAATAATATTGAGAATAAAAATTATTTAATTTAATTTTATAATTCGTATTTGTGATACTTGCCGCATTTTACACAAATAAAAACCCAAATCGCAAAGTTGTGACATTATATTAGCTGAAAAAATTATGATTTTGTTTTAAATTCTGAGCGGAACGAAGATGTATTGGTTTTTGTGTATGTGTACACGCGATAAGTAGTCAATAAAATGCTTTGATTATCATTTAGATAACTAAATTTTAGAAGGTGATTTTGAATAGAAAATTGGATCTAATTGATACTTTCAATTAATCAGATTATAAAAATTGTATTTTTACTTTTTTTTTATATAACTGAGAATAAAAACAAAATTAAAATAAAACGTAAATGTCTACACAAATCCAAAAATCGAAAACGAATTATCGTACTTAAAATTTACATCAAAAATTTCAACTAAAAATATAACTATAAATGTTTTCAAAATATTTTAACTACCTACTTTTAATCTTATAATAAGCAGAGGCGGCTTGAACATGTGTTAAATTTTAATAAATGTAGGATGGATGGTCAGGTGGTCATTATTAATAATATTGAAATTTTTTGAAATAGCTATAACTTATTATTTATCTTGAGATATTTTTTTATTTTGTAACAACTACTAATAACAAGACGTAAAGAGATGCTGGTCTAAATACAGTTACTGTCATTAGATTGTCATTTTATAATTCTATCATTATAAGCAATAATTTTGTTCTAATGTTACAAATATATGGATCAACATTGTATGACTAAGAGTAGAGACTATAATATAATATTTAATATTTAATAGTGTTACCTATGATAAAGATGAAACGTAGGTACTTATTTAATTATACAAGTTTGAAGTTGTTAAACTATGATACTTTTGAAGTTTTCACTTCACTTTCTTAAAGTAGGTGTATTTACTTTACCCAGTTGAAAAGTCGAATAATTAAAATACAAAATATAATTCAATATAATACCATTTCATTTGGGTAAAGATCCAATATGCGACCTACAAATATTACTCGATCTACCGATAAGATTCGATCTTATCATCCGATAAAAAACTCTTTTACAAATTATTAAAAATGAAATAAAAACGGGAACGACAATTTATAGTGACCAATGAAGAGCGTACTCAACATTAAATCAACATGGATATATTCATCAAATAGTTAACCATTCAGAATTTTTTATTTAGGAGCACACACTCAACAAATTGAAGGCTTATGGAGAATTATAAAATTCAAATATAATATTAAAAAGAATGGGGCGTCTCCTTTACTAGATAAACAACTCCAAGAAGAGTGGTGGAGATTGTGTCAAAATCCAAAAACCATTTTTGATAACTTTTTGACCGATATGAAAAATACGTTTTATAACAATATAAACTGAAATAATACAGTTATAAACGACACTGAGAAGTGGAATAAAAAAAGGTTATTTAAAATTATTTGTATTTTACATTTATGACGTAGTCGCGTATTGGACCTTAAATCAGTGTGTAGATCGCATATTGGACCGTTACCTTCATTTATACATTGGTAAATAATAGATATAAGAAAGAAAAAGCATAAAATAAATAAAATTATAAGATGTTTATATCAATATATTATCATAATAGACATCGAAAAAATACATCTATTTGGAAATGAGTAAAATCCATATATTTTTAGATATCTGCTCGATATAGAAATTCAACAGTCACACAATCGCTAGTACACTACACACTTTTATAATTAAATATGAAATACACATAAACATATTGTTTTTGTTGTTGATAATCATAATCATAAAATATTATGCTATTTTTGTCAGTGTTTACCGAGTAGTGACAAATCCTTAGTAAACAGTTACAGATCACCACCATAGTTGAACGGCGAATATATCTACATCCAGTTTTCATGGGACATATTATAATAATAGTTCATTATACTTTTTTTGAATAGTGCAGTTTTAATATTTAATATATTATATATAATATCTTAGTGTATAATTTATTATAAGTAAATAATATATAATACATTATAATATTAAAGCACTTACAACTCGGCCAAACTGATTTTTTATTCGATAAAATATCTTAAATATTAAATTTGTGCAATGGTGGGTGGGTGGGTGGATAGATGGTATATTTTAGGCTTGCCCTGATCAAATAAAATTGTCAAACCACCGCTGATTATAAGGATGAGCAATTTCAAGTTTTATAATTTTTTTTTTCTAAAAATGTCAGTAAAAAATTATCCACCAAGTCAAAATACTTGAAATATTTAGTTTTGATATGCATTTGAAATTATAATTTGAAAGAAATTCGTAAAAAATTGCTAACTATCTTGCAGTTGGAAATTTATAAAAAAAATTTCGTTTAATACGTTACTTTATAATTTAAAACTATATTTACAATATTTAAACAATTACTTTTTATTGATATTTTAAGTTTAAATTTGGACGAAATTACATGGGTATTTAAATGATAAATGACAATATTAATTATATTTATATAATTTAAAAATATTATTAGTAGAAACTAGAAACTTCTATTATAAATACGTAAAATCTATTTTTACTGCTTTACGATATTTGCAGAAAGATGTAAAATTTTGGATTATTTAAGTTAATATAAATATTATATACTATTATAATAATTAAATACTAATATAATAAATAAAATATTTTCGTAGCCTAATGTAGCTTAATTCTAGTTATTTCAATTAAAACTATCAATTTAATATCGTTTAGCAGGTATGTAAAATTTTGTTTAATAATGAATTAAGAGCTATAATCATTAACATTTTCAAAAAATTTAATACTAGAATTCATAAAAAAAAAATATCAGTTACCTCTACTGGTTGACTTGAAGAATATGCATTGTTTCGAATACCAACATTTTTAGTTTTTGTTAAGTTGATCTTTTTATTATCAATCATTTTCTTTAAAATGGATTTAGTTTTTGTTGAAGAAGATTCAACTATTATAAATAGTTCATGCCAAGCTCTTACATAATCATCTTAAAAAAAATTAAAGTTCTGTTTAGATAGGAGAATCCTAAATACTAATTCAATTTACAAAATAAATTTGATTCAAATATTTATTAGACAGGTATTATATAAATATAATATTAGCCTTAACCTAATCTAAAGTCTTACCGTATGGTTTATTGACAATTATTTTGACTCGACAGATTAACCAGGATGAATCTGGAGGGCTGGCTCTTATTATATCTTCGCTAGTTATGTTTGGATTAGGAGGCCATAGACAATAAGTTCCATTTTCATTTACATCATTTTTTTCTATTAACCAATTCATAGGTATTATACCATATTCATAGGATCTTGTGAAATAAGCCACTACCCAAGAAATCTAAAAAATGTATAATCAATATCATGATTATATAAATAACAGTGTAAAGCCAGCTAATTTTACTTAAGAAATATATTTTATTAATTTCATTTACTGTACTTTAGTATAATAGTTTATTTAAGGAAGTTTTCAATGAAATTTATTGTATTTAGTTTAATTTGTTAAACTTTATTATTTTTATTATTATTTATCATAAAAAATAATCAACAATTTAAAGGTTGTCCTTTTAGGTACCTAATAAATAAAAATATATTTAAAAAAAATAAAAATATATAAATGTATGATAGAAGTAGTTAACAATTTTTTAACCTAGTAAAACCAATAGTAAAAACAATGAACAAACAAAATTCTAATGTATGTATGTATTAGATAAGTACTGTAATTCACCTATTCTAATGGAACATTAATGTATAATTTCCCACAAGGCACAAGTTCATAAATTTAATACATAAATAATAAGTGCCAGTAAACGACATTGAATATTTTTAGTTTTAATCACATATTTTGATAGTGTAAATTCATTAGGATCCGAGTCCTAATTATTCAAGTAATTTTGATAAAAAAAACTTTTACTATGCATATGGACTATATTATGTAGATCGTATATACTCTACTCACCTTTTGAATATCAGTCATTTTAATGGTTTATGTAGTATTGTAGTTCGATTGAAATGAATTACAGATAAATGGACTTGGAAAACTCTTTGATTGTTTCATCAAAGGCTTCGTGTTGATACGGTCGTATATATTATGTAACGCGTCAAGACAGCGCGCAACCGCGAATGCGTGAACTGAACAGTGAACAATGAAGTATGAACATTATACTGTTACGCACATTACAAACAAATAACAATACAAACTCGTGGGTCTAATAATGTTTTTATGTACAAGGAGAGGGTACATGTACCGCGCTATACCGTAGTATAACGACAATTTTCCTTATTATTGCAAACAATTATTATTTATAGATTTTGTTGACCGATATTGTATAATATTAAACCAGTTCGCAGTTATAATTATTAATTATCGATATTATTAACGTCAAAATGGTTCTATTTTAATAATTATTGAAACACAAAACGCTAAAATCATATTTGTTTAAATTTAAAATACCTATTTAATATCTTGACGAAAATATGGTATGGCTCTCGTAATAGTTGTAATTCAAATTTATTCACTGATGTTCTGAAAAATAGTCAAAAACTTGATAAGAAAGGTAATATTTTAAAAACAATGTACAATCGATGTACAAAAAAAGGGTGGCAAACATTTCACTCCATATGTAAAAACAATAATTTTCGTACGTATAAAGATATGTAACAGTGGTTTAAATTTGTGCGATATCATAGAATTTGTTTAGTATTAGGTATTTCAAATAAAGGTTACACAAGCCGAGGTATTTACAAAAAGATCAAAATCAACCAAAGTCGACTAGTATAACTTTTGTTGAGACGTAGCACTAACTGATTTTTAAAACCGTATAAAAATGGGAGGTTCTAGCATAGGCGCAACTAGGGAGGATAAGTCATTAAGTCCCCCAGTTTTTCTGTCATGTAATTTATTAATTAATTTTGTGCAAATTTAGTTGATAACTTATTAACAATATTCAATCATTCAGAAAATTTCATTGACCCAATGAGACACAAACTATAGAAAATCTTTGGAGACACGTCAAAATAAATACATTAAAAACGCGGAACGACTAACATATTACATAGAACTTCAAGAAGAATGGTGGCGCTCGTTATAAAAACCAACCAAAGACCTGTTTGGATCATTCGAATTAGAAATTCATATACCTACATAACTACACTACTTCCACATGAAAAAAAGTGACAAAGTAGAAATACAGCATTATTATGGTAAGATAATTTACATTTGTAGATAGCAGATACTATACTAAAGTACTAAACCTACATAAAATGACGGTAGATAAAATATTTATGATAGGTAGATAGCATACTAAAGACTAAACCATCAAACGTGCAGTTGATTGAACAAGTATCTTCGTTTCCATTACATTTTAATTATTTACTCTACTGTTGTGATCCAGTTGTGGAGCACGGTTGACGAAAGTCGATTCAAAATAAGTTAACACGTTGATTGATTAACTATTATTGTATGTTTATTAATATTTGATTAGTATTTAACACTTTTAAACACTCAGAGTAATGTTTACAACTTAAGACAAATACTTCTAGCATGGACACTGTCAACTAGTCGTCGTGCAAAAGTAATGTGTCTAGGTCTCTCTAAGAGCGCCCTAATATATTGAACAACTGCCGGATCCTATAGTCTCTCACAAGGTCTCGTTTAAGTATTCATTAAGCATTTATTAATTTTAGAAATCTGCTTTTCCTTGTAATAATCATTAACAGCTATTAATACATTGTAACACGTATTCGATATGTAATACTTGTCTATATGTGTGGTCTTACGTGCAGCGACTATCGCAACACTACAGTTACCTATTTATGTTGTTATCATTAAATAATTATTAAAAAATAATATTCGATACGTGATGATGATAAATGATAATAATTATTCAGCACAGGTTAGGTTCATACTTAAACAGTTATGGTACATCTGTTTAACAACAAAAATAGTTGTAAAATTAAAAAAAAAAATACCAACACCTGGAGGTACATAGAAAACTTTTACATTTTTGTAGGTTTGTTTTAAAATTATTTTTGGTGATTATTGTGTAATTTTATATTCGTTTTTAAGTAGACATACAATAACCTATGATTTATTAAAGGAATTTAATTTTATTTATGTTACAATTGATAAATTGAACTGGGACTGTCTTATAGTAATGCATATTTTATAAGCTTTGTATTTTTTTAAAACTATATCCATATATTTTAAACATTTTTTTTTTTAATTATGCAGGTAAGTAGTAATCTTATCTTAGTAATCATCCTGCTACTCCAATATTCCTACAATTATGCAGAATATTATCAATTTATTTATTAAAAAAAATAAGAATAGGCTCCAAAACTGAAGATTGTTCTATAATCTATATCATGTGAAAAACTGTTTTAAATTTATTAGTTTTTATACATAAATCAGTGTTTCTCAAACTTTATGTTATGGTAGCATACTATTGAACCTTGGGAATTTACTACCAATACAAGTGAATATTAAATTATTATTTTGAATTATTAAAGTTTAGAAATAAAAACAAGCGAGTTTTTTATTCTTGATATTGGTACTTGATAGATGTGTATTTCTTTCATTAAATGTATTTAATTTAATTTTTAAAGTAATGGTTAAACATTATTTTTGATTTTTTACCCATCAATGCTTTATTTTGCTTTTTAATTTTTTTGTATTTTTTTTTGTACTCGTATTTAATTATCAATTTCGATAGAGTCTGACATGGAGGCCTACTATACAAATAAAAACTTTTCATGCCAGCTCCTTATTATCTTATTATCAAATTTTATCTAGAAAATTGTTCGTTTGTCGTACGACAAGACAACGATATTTTATCTACTCACTCAATATATATTGGAGTCCCACAAGATAAAGATTTATCCTCTGATCTATATAATGGATATACAGCAGATATCCCTCATCAAAAAACACCCTTCTTGTAACATATGCTGATTATACTGCTACTCTTTCCTCCAGTTCAAATCCTAAACTAGCTTTAACTGCACTTCAGGTTCATGCTAACGAAATTGACGAATGGGCCAAAAAATGGAAAATTAAAATAACACAGATAAATCCGTACAAGTTACTTTCACGTTAAAAAAATCTCCTCGTGAGTGCCCTCAATTGATAATGAACAACGTCCCCATCCCTGTCCGAACCGAAATAAAGTACTTAGACATAACACTTAATAAAAGATTAAGCTGAGGCCCCCACCTAAAAGAAAACCAGCGAATATTAGACTTCATCTCTTCCGACTCCTATTCAACTCTAAAACAAACTTATTATATATAAGTCAATCATATGACCAGTCTGGTCGTATAGAATAGAAATTTGGGGACCAAAATTTGGTCCGTCCGGCCAAACCCTCGAACATTAGGCCAACTCAGGCTTTTCAAGTAATCACGATAGGATTAGTAACCAAAGTCCCCTAGTACGTTTCTAACCTTTCATTACACAATGACTTAAAAATAACAACTACCATTGAACTAGCGAAAACACATAGCAATACTTTAATAACACACATGTCCACCTTCACCCTCTCAAAAAACTCAACACGCAGACTAAAGCGCAAATAGTTTAAAGACCTATTAAATTAGTGAAGGAAGTGTTACCATTGGGTTTCTTCCTCAACACGTTATTCATGTTACTTTATTCCATGTAAATATCAAATTTGCTTATTGTAATAATTATTGTGTACAGATTTTAAATTGTCTTCCTTAATAAAAAAAAAAAAATCATCAATTAATTATAGTAGTTGTATACCTACATATTTATAGTATAAATTGATAAAAGCTTGCAAAAAACATATTGCTAATGTTATGTTTATAATTACCTTTTATATGCTAAATATAGAATATGCATTATTATCATTGTAAGATTTAACTATAAAGTATTCAATAAAGTTACTTTAGCATTTATCAAAGTAGTTATAGATTAGAATGATTTTTTAAGGGTAAATTTAAAATTTTTTTGTCAATAAATATTATTTTTTTCCTTTTTCACATTTGAAGTGCTTTTTTATTATTTATATTGCTTTAACACTTGAACCCTAGATATCATGGTATATATTTAAACCGTGTTTAATTATTTTATAGTTAGGTTATTTTTTATAAGAAAAACAGTTAAAAATACATATTTTTAAATTTTAACATAATCAGTTGGAAGCATGTCTACTGTGATACGTTTTTCAAAACTAAAATTAATAAAATGTAGATTATAATCAATAAAAATAAATGAAAAATTGGAATATATATAATAATAACAGGCGAGCATTAGACAATTTAAAGTAGAGATGGTACTCGCATTCATTGAACGGAAACAGTTTTCGAAAGCCGATAATCACAGAGTTCTCCTTCGGATGGTCCAACAAGGGACTGTCAGTGTATCTGAAAATGTCAATATCTAAACTCATGCTGTTATCACGAACATGATATAGGACATAGGTAGATAAAGCGTTTTAGAGACAGTGACTCATGGTCTAAGTTAGGAGTCACCAATTAATTTTTTTGAAGGGCCATATTAGGAATCTGAAAATTTTTCACAGGATCTCAAAATTTTAAGTATATATTCTATAGCTAATAGATATTATTTTAAAATTGGATGTAATGAGAACATTATTTTTTTTATTTATTGTTTGCTATTGCTTATAAATAGGGCACGGATTTATATGTATTTATGAAACCAAAATATGTATTTATGCTACCAAAATATGTACATATAAATGTGCTAAAAAAATCGTTATATGTACTATCAAAAAAAAAAAAATAATAATAATAATAATAATTAATAATAGAATGAAATTTAATAATAAAAAATATTTATCTCACTATCTAATTTTCTTGATTACAATTAATAATAACATACATTTTTAAATTTTCGAATTCAAAAGATCGCCGATTCTGTCGTAAAATTGCTTTATATCGACTGAAAGATCTCTCAACTTCGACTGACGTTATTGGACAATATTGCATGTTGACTATGTCTGAAGGAGAAAGTTCTATATCCAATGAAACTTCAGACGAAATACCAGTGAGAATACTTTTAATAGCTTTTATTTCTGCTAGACCAGAATTTTTATGTAATACATTTTTAATCTTAGCGTTTACAATATCACCAACAGGTCCTTG